AAAAGGAGTATCTGGATTATTTTAATTTCTGTCTGTGCCTGTGGATACCCTGGTTAAGTAGATGGATACCCTGGTTAGGTAGATAGAAAAATTGAAGAATTGCCGTGTTGCAGTGCTGCCCTTAGTGAAAGCTACCTGCTTAAAATTAACATTGTCAGTAGTCTGGTGGGAAGACCAAAACTAGGAATGTGGTAGCATCAACTAGATGTTGAGTAAGTGTGATGGCCTAATGGAAGAGTTACAAATTTGAACTAGGACAGTGAAACAGTTTTGCTTTGACAGGAGCTGAAGTCCCAGAAAATGTATGTGATTGACGTCAGGGTAGCATTTGCTTGATTCACTTAGAAGAAATCTCAGGCATGGTTCAAGTTTGAATGCATATGTTGAATGGTGACATTGCAGGCTGAAACCTGAGCTTTAGGTTCCATTTCAGGCCAGGAAAACTGCTGCTCTGATTTCAGCCTATTGAGTCACCTTCCTATGTATTTTGCCAAAGTTTCCTTCAGCTAAGAGAGAGAAGCCAGGAACTAAGATGAGAGATTGCTGGTTTAAAAATCAAGGCAAAAGAAAAAAATCCTTCAGGGGAAACAGTCAGCACTTTCATAGTTGATAAGCAGTTATTAAACTGGGGAAGAAAATTGTTTGTCTTGTTACATTTTCAAGTTGAACTGCTGTTTCTCTTCTACGTAATTTCTAGGTAATTACAGGTCAAGATGAAGTAATTAGATGACAGAACTTTGAAAAAGAGCAACTTGCCTTTTATCATGAATTAAAGGAAGTAAGAAGACAACATCACTCCTTGGAAATGAATATTTGGCTTTGTAATCCATTAGTGTGACAGATCATATTCTGATTTGCCCTTTCACATTTTATTCTCTCCTCATTGGGAGTTAAAGCAGCTGAGACATGAAACATTGTTTCCCCAAGTCGCATCTCTTACTCTGTTAGAACACTGGTGTGAATGTTGTCCTTCATCTAGTGTGATCTTTAATGAACCTGTGTACTCAACTTTATGCTCTCAGTACATTGTGCTCTAGATAAAACAAAGAGTGTATCAGCGTATTTCATTATTTTCAGGTGTATTTGACTGAATCCTCTATACCTTTAGTGGTCATGGTGAGAAAGTATCAGACTTTGTTTGCCATTCTTTATCTTAGCCTTGAACTTGAAGGAGGAGAAAGGGCAATGTAATACAGTCTTGCATAACAGGCTGGGATTCATAATCATCCTGAAATTGAAACATCGTTTATGAAGCACTAATTCATTTCAGTGTGTTAGCAGTGTGGCTTTTTCTTGCTACTACCTTAAGGTGGAGGTATCCGTAACCAGTAAGGAAAGCTGAGCAAAAAGGCTAAGGTGAAATTAAAAAAGAAACTGAGGGTAGGCCTCAGTGATACGTGCTTTATCATATTAAATATATTCCTTTTGTAATCTCATAAATTAAATTATTGCCTGACGTACAATGTCTCATTTGAACTTAAGCACCTATGAGATGTCATTGTTGAAAAAGGCAATTTGGGCCTCGACGTTGAGGAGCACACAAAAAACCTCTCTCCTGTGTTTGACACCAGTTAAATGCACATTTTAATTCAGTTGTCAGCTGCAGAGTTAATAGTCAGAGCTAATTGGAAGTAAGAAAGGTTAAGAAAATGAACTTGAAAAAGCAGGAAGGTTTTCTAGAATTAAAACTAGGTTGGAGAATGAGATCTACTAATGCTAAGCTTTGTTTAACTGGGCCAGAGGTTTAAAGGGCTTTGCAGTTAGCTGCCTGTCATATAAATATTGTTCGAAAGTTGTCTGGTTTGAGCTGCCTTAATATTTAATGGTTTCTTTCAAGTGCTGAGATGCTATAGAAATTGTTTTGAACAGAATCTGTTTGTTCATCAAACAGTTTTGTGGATTTATTAAGCAAAACTGTAAATGCCAGAACTTTGGTGAACTTAAAACAGCTTATTCTGCTAGATTGTGGTTTTTTTTTTTTAAAAAAAAAGACTAAGTAATTCAATTTGACATTCAGATTTTCATTTAAAATGAGTCATGAATATTTGCAAGCTTACATGTCACTTCATAATGAAGTAGTTTTTTTTAAAGTCAAAGATTTTATGCCACTGTATGTTAATTAAAATGCCTGTTCAGTTTTTGCTGCTGCAGAAATGTGTCTGCTTAGTTTGAGGGTTTGTTAGTCTGATCATTCATGTGTGAAATCATTGAACAGTTTGGTGCCACATTAAACTTGTGTTTCTTGATTATTAATCTCAATTTTACCAATGGTGGAAATTGGGAAGTACGAGGCGAGTCATTTCCATAGTCATCTTGCCTACTAACAGCACAGAACTGAGCAGAGCTTGTACTCCAGTTCTCTGTACTGAGCAGTAGTACATTAAATCTCATAAATTAGATTAAGTAGAGGAATGCCGTTTACCAGAGCAAGTTATGTACATGTTCTGCAGGTGTGTTCAGTTAGGACTTCATGCTTTTCTCTTTCTGCCAGTGGTTGTTTGCAGTGTGAACAGTGTATTGTCACATTTAAACAGTCCCCTGCTCTCTTTCACTTTGCTTAGTTTTACTTCTTTACATGAAGTTATAGCAATGCAGACTGTCAAAGTGGTTTTCTCAGGACTGGGAACTCCCAATGGTGTATCTTGAGATTTTTTTTTTTATTTTCAGAGCAAGATTTGAAGATGGCAAGTTTAAAAGTGTTGTCAAATTGGAAGCAGATTAGAAATTATTGCAATATCATTGAGACTTCTGTGTTCACCATTCAGTATAATTGGGATTAGAACCATGTATCATTGGTGTAAAGATCTTAATTTTCTATCCATATTCTTCCCTCGCCCCCCAGTTGCTCTCACTCCTTCTATTCTGGCTGCTGTTCTAACATCGTCTCTGAATTACTCCATATTTAATTTACAGGGGTTGATAGGACTGGAGGAAACCTGGCTGATGATTGTTATTTTAACTCTTGCAGTTTTATCCATTGACCAGAGACAAGAGTCTTTTATGGGTTTTGTTTGTGTTTGTTTTTTTTTTTTTAATTATTTTGGTGGTTAATGTGGTTTGAGAATGTGTCTGCAAGAAGATAATAGGTGAGCTGTAGAGAAGATTATTATCAAAGTTGTTGTGCCCAAAACTTGGCTGATGCTGTTGCAGTTCATATGGAACTTGGAAAGTATGTCCAAGACCAGGTAGTCATAGTGTAGGTTGCACATGGTCTGTTACATTTTTCAGTTGACGTAAATACAGTGTGAATGTTCCTCATAGTGTAGACACTTCAGGACAGATGTTCTCTTATGAGCTAATTCGGTTCCCACTCAAAATTATGCACTATTGCTTTAGCTAGAACAGCATTTGATTCTGAGGAAAAGTATTGTTTTATGACCATAATGCCATTGAGTAGAGCTATTGCAGGGCCATTCTCCCACTGCTGCAGTGTGTATGCATGTGACTAATTCTACATGGGATTCTGTTAAATTTTGGAAGGCTGACTGCATCTTCATTTAACCTGATTTATTATTACCACACTGGAGCATAGTATGTATCTTGTCCTACAAAAAGTATGAATCCTCCAGGCATCCTTGAGTGCTTTTTTCACCCCTTCTGGTTTCCTTCTCTTCATTTCTCTACTGAGCTGCTTTATTGTGTCTTCTGCATTTGCTTCTGCTTTGAACCAACTCCCTGATCTCCCTTTACGGAGTTGAAAATTGTACAAGCGCTGTAGGCATGGGACTGAAAAGGTATAAACTGTAAGGCTTTAATCAGAGAACAAAATCCAAGGAAGAAGCTCCTTCACTGACAAAAGCTGGTATTCCTGTTGACTGTGGAAACAGTTTCCTCTTCTTTTATATACTGGCTGCTCCTGGACTAACTTACAGAGTTGAACCACCACAACAGCTAAACCTCTGAAATAGAAATTGGTGAATGTTTGCTTCTGCTTGGCCTACCATAGGATTCCTTCACTGACTGACCAAGCTGGTAGCTAAAGTTACTTGTTCACATCACATGGTTGCTTCCTAGAAAATGTTCAAATAAGGAAGCTTAATAGCATACTGTTAACAAACCTGAAAACTAGTTGAGAATTTTTCACAGTATTGTGTTGGCAAAATGCTGAACAGAAATAGAAAGGTACTGAGTGGAGTACTTTGCAGCTCTCGCATGATCACGTAGATTTATATGTACCTGAGTTTCAGAAAGCTCTCTTTGCCGAGAGTCTGGAAGTCTCAGTGGAAGCTGATTCTGTAAGAAATTTTTCAGAAAAGGCACACAGGATTAATAATTTTACTGCAAGGATTACCCCTCTCTTGTAATTCTACAGTGAAAATGAGATTATTAAAAACACTTGCTGTATTTTATTCAGTGTGATCAAATGCTGAGCTACATATTGCTATACTCCTTTAAAAGAGGCTATTGATCCATCCATTGTCTTTATTTGGATAGATCTGAGGTTGTCAGAAGTGTTGTGGAATGCTTTTGTATTTTGCCTGTGGGTTTGCCATTTTTTGAGATTTTAACCAGTAGTTGCTTTGTGCATGGTACTTCATGTACGTATTTTATTCTGGAGTCTTTTGTTACCCATAACAGTATGAATGATAAATGCTGTCTGGGGGAGAAAGATGACTGCAAATTAAATGCATGAAGGGAAGATCATAAATACCAGTAGAAGTTTTACAGAATATTTTTTTATCCATGTATATTGTATTACTGATAGCTCCTAAATTTTAACCTTATGCTGTTTACTTTTGTTAGCAGCACTCTGGCACTGATACCTGACCTTAACTAACAACATTTTTGTTAGTGTTCTGGTGCAAACAGTCTGGAGTTACTTTCAGTTAGTCGTTCTTTGTGTCTTGGGCAAAACATGGTGGGTTTTGCAGGCCATGTTTAACGACTCTATCATCAGTTAATTACCTGCAGTGTTTGGTGCTTGACTGGAAACCAAGTCAAGTAAAACCTTGGATTGTTAATTATTTTAGACTTATTTTTTATGTTGTTTTTCTTTCTAGAACAAATTCTGTACAACATAAAACAGGAGTACAAACGCATGCAGAAGAGGAGACACTTAGAAAATAGCTTCCAGCAGACAGATCCTTGTTGTTCTACTGATGCACAGCCACATGCATTTCTCCTTACTGGACCAGCTTTGCCAGGTACCTGGAAAATTCTGTGTAATTCTGCTTTGTCTTTTTAGACTCTGTTATGTAAATGATTTTTCCTAGTTATCTTTATAGGACCTTCTTTCCAGTTACTGTTGCTTTTTTTGGCAATGAATGCTGTGTAATTCTGCTATATGCTGTTAGACTCCTGCTTGAGTAAATAATTTTCCCCAGTTATCTGGTGTTTCATGGCACATTCTCGCCAGTTACTGTTGATTTTTTTGGCAATATTAGCATGGATGTGGAGGATTGTAGCTTCTTGTTTTAAGAACCAGTAGGACACAAAGCTTGCATTATTTTCAAGAGATCGTCCTGTATACCCTGCCACTGATACTGTAATAAGCTTTTGCAAAGCATCTGGTTTTGCACAGATGCACTGTACTGACAGTTTTACATGAAATAGAAGCTTAAATTTGTAAATGGCATTCACAGTGTTTGTGTAAGATGCCTGTGCATATTGCCCATTGTAGTCTTCTTCCTTTTGAGGTCCTATTCTAATAGTAATTAGAAGCGTTCAAATTGTAAAGACTTCTCCAAATTCCTTGTAAAGCTCCTAATGTCAAAGTTGCAAAGAAAATTGATTTTAAAGTGGTTCTGAACTAGTTTCAAGTGTAAATTTGTGTGCCTGAATATTTAATCTTAGGTACTTCATCTGCAGCCTCATCACCATTGAAAAAAGAACAGCCCCTGTTTACTCTCAGACAAGTTGGAATGATCTGTGAACGCTTGCTGAAAGAACGTGAAGAGAAAATCCGTGAAGAGTATGAAGAAATTTTGACCACAAAACTTGCAGGTATATTATAGCTCAAAATAATGTGTTAGGATGAGTTTGAAAGCTTAAAGATTTTCATTATGTTTGTTACGCTGTACTTTTTTTCTGACCTAACATGATCAAGATTGCATACAGGACAGAAAAAATGGTGTATAGACTCTTTGATAGGCTTTTTTCTTCTATGCTGGCTTGGGTAGAAACTGACTGCTGGGTATTACTAATCAGTTGAAACAGTGGATTTATTTCACATGGAAATTTTTCTTGCTATGATGTCTGAGTTGATGATTTCCTCCTTTTTTTTTTGTTTTTAGTGGTTTGATTTTGTTTTGTTTGCTAGAAAGTCTTTCTCTTCTACTGGCTTAAGGGACCTTTGTGAAGGGTTTTGTTTGGTTTTTTTTTTTTCTTCCTGCTTAGGAACTGACTTCCTTTTTCTGGAGTTTGGCAAGATGACAGTACCTAAGATTTCCCTTTCTCTTCCCAGTACTTGCCATTACATTGCTGCCAACAGTGTTTGCTATCTGCCCGAGTGTCAGTCGTTCAGCTGATGCTCTTTATTGAATTGTTGTTTCACACCATTTAGCTCATGTTTTTGGTGCCTGATGCCAACTTTTCCATAAGGATCATGTTAATGTCAGCATTATAAATAGGACCTTTCTTTACTTGAAGTCCTCTACTTTATAAGCCCTTTGCTAGTATTTGAGCATCTAAATTGTGGTACATTCAGAAGTACATGCCTTCACAGTATGATTCAGTGTCTAATTTAATATTTATGGTGATTATAAGAGACATCTGAGTGCACTTTTGGGGCAGCAAACCTGTGTTTGACTCCCCACAGCTGTTCTGCCTCCCACCTCAAAACACAGAGAATTAAAGTTTGGAGATCTCTCCTGGTGTGGTAGGAGTAGTGTGGTGTGGCCATGCAGAGTGTCAGCAAACTTGAGTCACCCTTGTGGCTTGCCTTTGACAGTGTGGTCTCTGCAGCTGAGCCTGTATTCACGTTCTGTATTGCTGTCCTGCCATTGCTGTGTAAGAAACAGCTGCAGTTCCGAGTCCCTCTTAAATCTACATCTGTTTACAATTGGAGCTAGAGCTCTAAATACTTCTGTTGCTTTGGATCAAACACTCCATTTCTGTGCTTATAACCTGCTTCAGACTGATGAATTATGACCCTTTAGAGCGTTATTCTTCTAATTTGTATATGTTAGGAACTGGGTCACTTCTTGCATTCTCTTAAGTAGATTTCAGTTAGCAGTGATCACAGTAACCATTTGAAGACCAGATATATTTACATTTGTTCCAGACACTTTCTGAGAACAAACTTGTAGTTCTTTACAAGCAGGAAACTCTCTGGCAGGTTCCTTATGTGTGCTCCATCTGTTAGTCCCAAAGGGAACATTCTCTTCCCCCCCCCCCTTTTTTTTTTTTGAAGGGGAGTGTGTGCTTTACAGTGAGATGGGTTAGGTTCTTGTTCTTAGGATGGTGGTCATCAAAAGAGTGAGAAAGATCATGTTACTGCATCCCATATATCAAGCCAGTATTACATTTTCAGTATTATACGGAGATTTTAGAGACTGCTAAAAGACTTTAGAAATTCCTCACATAGAAGGCCAGTTATATTTTTCTGCCGACAGATGATTATACCCTTTTCTAAACTTTGTACTGTAAGGTAATACTCATTCTTACAATCTAGTGAAGTCAGTGGAAACTGGGAATTCTGTAATAAATCTCAATTTAATAGCTTCTTTTGAATGACTTAACTGAATGTTTGGATCTGGGATATTTTCCTGATTCCTTTCTGAATCACAATTTTCTTGTAGGTAGGTAACCAGATAGATGCTGCTTAATTTTTTTTTTTTTCTTCTCCCATGTTCTTTGTGAGCGGAGTTGTCTTTCACACAGAGTGAGTGTTTGATAAACGGAAAACTCAGATCATGCTAATGCCTTGATTTCCCTTCCTGCCTGTTACCTGAAATTGCTGTGTTAGAATAAACTTGGGTTTGCAAGATCCTGTGCAGGTTTTAAAACCAGAGGAGTTCAAGGGACTAAGTGAAGTTTTCACTTGAAAGGTTTTTAGAATCCAGTTGTGGAAACCAGCTTTTTATACGAAAGGTCAGGTCACATAGTAATCATGTTTGTACTCATGTTGTTCGGCCACCTTCTGATTGAAAACAGATAGTTAGAACATATATGATACAGGATGCCAGTGGTGTAAGTGTCTGTAAGTATTCACTTAAATTATCAAACAGCTCACTGTAGGTTGCTCAGACCTTTGGGTTGCTTAACTTTCTGAATCTGAATGCCACAAGAAAAGGGATTTTTAGTAACAGTGGATTCTTTAAATTTCCAAAGTCACAGTTTTTAACAAAGATGATGCTAAAAAGCAGCTGTGTATGTTGACTTAAACCTTTAAAGAAGAAAGCTTGCAAGTTGGTTTCTGGCCTTTAATACATACTTTGAGGAAAAGTTCTAGTTTCTGTTATTTTTGGAAGTGGTTTCTGGGCAACAGATCCTTCAATCTGCTCTTTGTGCTATTTTGTTGTTTGGCTAAGATCCTCGCATGGCTGCTGAAAAGCCATCAGTCAGAACTGCAGTGAACAGAGGTCCTGCTTGTTGGGCAGAGGGGAACTGGCTGCCATGGCTCTGGGCCCCTTTGGCCAGGGATGGATGTCCTTAGGTCTTGGGGTCAGATCCGAACTTCGGGCTGCTGCTGAACTACTTGCTGATTACTGATACCCTGTTTACTTCAAAGGTGAAGCTCATCCCTGCAAGAGGATGGGGACTTTAATGGGGCAAACCTGTGGGACTAGGAACCACTACAAATCTAACTGCATTTTTGGTTGAAGATTGCCTTCTTTGACCTTGCCCCTTTCTCAGAACACCCCACATTGCTGCACATGTATTTTTCCACAAGGGAGGAAGGGCAATGGAGAGGAGCAGCATCTGGTAGATATTACTCTCCTTGTTCAATTTCCTAACTCTGAAAGGTGATATCCTGCTGATGAGTGCAATATTAAACTGAATAAAATATTGCAAATGTATTTGTGTGTATGTGCATAAAAAGAATAATCTTTCAGGAAAATAGAAATACTTAGTTCAAAGCCAGATTGATACATTTGAATATAAATTTCATTTTGGATTGCACAGTAGTTGTTTTCATGAAGTCCACAGTCAACTACATGTCTCTATTGTGGCTACTTCTGTGATTGGAGTTAATCAAGTGCTAGTCACTTGGTGTTTCATTCTTTTAGTTTGTTACTTGTGTTTGATTTTCTGGTGGTCAACAAAAAGAATTTCCTAATTCCATAGCAAGTGCCTTTCCTCTACTTCTGTGTTTCCATTTCATTAAACAGACTTTCTTGCATCTGGTGCTGGTAAAAGCAGAGGTTGTGTTTCCAACCCTAGCACTGACTTTAATGCTATGTTTGCTTAACTATTTTGCCCCCATTATGGATCTGTGAAATGAGTACATTTGATTACTTCAAAATACCGTGTCTGATGCTTAGCAGACATTAGGTATGTTGAGGTCTGTGTGTGTGTGCAGCACAGTTCTCCTTGAGCATATTACCATCATTCCCATTACAGATGTTTATATGGGAAAGTTTCTTAATTAGGGGGATGTTGTTTTGGGGGTGGTCAGGAATGGGGATTTTGGACATTGCTGCGTTGTTGTTCTGGGGATGAAAAGGTATGAACTGTGTGAAGTCACTTAAAACTACTGTTAGTGGATGTGTGTTTAACTTGTATATATAAAAAAGTATGTTCGGGCCTCAGTTAATGTACTCACATTTCTGCTTCATGCTTGCAGAACAATACGACGCATTTGTGAAGTTCACGCATGATCAAATCATGCGACGATATGGAGAACAGCCTGCCAGTTGTGAGTATTGGTTCCTTTGGGTTCCTCTTGCACCATTACATTAGTGAATGTTCAGGAATTGAAATGGCCAGACTTTGTTGTTAAGCTACAGCTAGGCCCCAAGTTAAAGTATCTTAAATTGGGAATAAGAAAGGCCGACCAAGGTCGAAAGGAAGACATGGGATAAAATGCCACTTTTGTTTTAAAAATCTGGGACTGTCTCCCGTAACACGCTGGTATTGTATTTCTGAAGCGGGGTTTGATGTATCCATGGTAGATTTGTGACAGAGCTGGCATGTATTAACTCCACTATTAACTCTTGCTTTTTTTTCTCTTTCCAGATGTTTCATGAATCACACTTTCTGCATATGTGGGCTGCCCTATACACCCCGTTTTATTGTTGCAAGCTGTCCCAGTAAAGACTTGCAGCAATGCCATATTTTTTCCCCCTGTGAACACAGGTTATTTCAAGCTTTTGTCAGTGGCAACCACTCTTATGCAGCAACTGGTTTTGGAGTGCTCCCTGATGTCAGTACCACCTGGATGTGGACCTTTGCTACCTGTAATAATACCAGTGGCCTCATTTGCTGTATCATTACAATTTGGCTTCTTATGTTAATAAGTTTGAAAAAGTTAAAGGATTAAAGCTGGTGTTCTAGAAGTTGCCCTTCACTGGTTGTGTAAATAAAATTGTAGAATGACACTTCTGACTGAAGTTAGTGTGATTTTCATAACTGTGCACTACAACAAAGCTGTAATCACAGTTAAGTTAGAATGTAATCCCAGGACAATTTTAAGCAAATAGCCCACAGTACTGCCTGTGAAATAGTGAAGGAGGGCATTTCTGTATTCCATGACTTTTTTGGGGGTTAAGAATGGGTTTATATGATTTCTCATTTTTGTAGTTTTTATTTATTCTATCAGTCTTTAACAAATGTTTATTGCTGCAATTTTTCAGTGTATCATTGTTTTACTGCCCTTGTAGTACTGGAATTTAGTTGGAAGAATAAAACATTTACTTCTAATCTGTTTGTTTTTAATATGCAGGTGGAACTTCTGCTGTGTACGAATAAACTTAAATCTGAGTGTTTAAATGAAAACTTTATTCACTGGCAGTAGCGGGTGGGTCAGAATTTTAGATCAGGAGAAGGAGGTGGGTGAAAATCTTTGGTAATTCTTCAGAGGCAAAGAAGTCATTCTTAGATTGGCTGTATTGTGTTCCTGTTGTGGAAGCATGTTTGGTACAGAACTGATAAGAAACTGTTGATTTAGCTTGCTGCAGCTGACTCAAAAGGCTGTGTTTGTCCTCCTTCAGATTCAAATGACGCAGTAAAGGAAATCTGTAAGATAGGGCAGGCTCTTAACACCACAAGCTAGAACTGCATAGGTATTGGAAGAGCTAAAGGTGTGTAATCTCTTTGTTCAGGGTCGAGGAGTCTGTTATTGGATGCATTCAGCTTTTTCCAGACTGCTGTATCAGTGCTGGTTGCTGCTGTCTGTGCAGTTCTGAGTCCCAGAGTGAATTACTGCAAAGTTACTGCATGGCAAGTCCAGATCTGTGTGCTGTGGGGTAGAGGTATTGCTTACCAAAGGACTCGGGGTATCTGCTTCGGGGACTTGAAAGCAATTCCAAAGTAATCCTTCAATTATAAACCGTCTTCTCTAACTTACTGCCAGCTTCTGGTTAAGTGCAAGTCTGTTGTGTAATAGGTCTTTGTACCATTTGAAATTAACAAGAGAGTTTTAGTTGAAATGGAATTGAAACCTCAGTTGGTAGATGCAGGCGTTTATTGGCTTATGCTGATGATTATGGTATCATAGAAGCCATGTGATGAACTCTAGTTCTTTGTGAAGGTTTATTCACTCAGTAAGGAGGTTGTTGCAGGTTCAGAATTGGGCACATTGCCACAGTATCACAGTATTTTCTGCACACTTTCCTGAGACTCGGCTTACCTAAATATTTGGATTCTTCTTACTGTATTTTCCAAGTCTCAGAAATGGGAAATGTGTGCTAGGCTCCCTTCTCAGGTTTTATCTGAAGGTAAAACCAAGTTTTTCAAGGGCTGTAATTCCTAGGTGTCTGCGTTGGGGTTCCCAATCCCTCTCCTTCCTGCTCCTCTTTTTTTTGCCCTCTTCTTATTGTTAATTTGCCCAGGGTATGAAAGCCACTTCTTCTAGGTGGGCCACTACCCAAACTCCAACATCCTGATATGTCTCCTCTGTCTTCTGTGTTCTTATCTTTTCCTCTGGGATATTAAGAGTTCTAAATAAGAAGTGATGTCATGTTAGCACCCAGCCACTGCTGTGTTGCTCCAAATTAATGCATCTGAGCAGTCTTCTGGCAGATGAAATACAATGCCACTGTGGGTGCTCTTGCATCACAGCTGTGATATGCTTAATTTCTGCCTGGTTTGGAAATGAGGTTGCATTCTCTGAAATACTCCATATTTTTTTAACCTGCTGTTTGTTCTGTCATGGACCTTAAACTGGCTCCTTTTCCTAATCTCAGTGCCAGTGTATGATGAATTTCATGTGAAAGGCTTGTTCTAACTGGTGACTTACTCTGTCGTAGGAAAATTATTTGCTGCTTGGTTACTTTTGAACAAATCGGGAAAATTGTGATGCTGTGGGGAGCAGGCTGGTGCTTAGAAAGAAACCTGCTTTCAAGTCAAGTAGAAATGGGTAAGATTCTGTAACTGCTAGATTCTTGGCACTACATTTTTTGTGGTGGCCACGTGGAGAATATTTGTGTGTAACTGCAGTCTGCCCAAAATCCAGGCAAGCTGAGGACAGTTAATGGCAACCTCACAGAGTGAAACCAAAGATCTGGGTTAACCTGTTTTTAAGACAATAGTATGTAAATTCTTTTCAAGCAGCTCTCTGTTACTGTCTGCTTAAAAAGCAGCGTGTACATCCTGACTGTTGTATTTTGTGCCTAGATGTGAAAACATGTAACCATAAGATGATTCAGCATTTTTCAAGGTTGGAAAGGAAGATTGCTTCAGTCTTGTGTGCTGCTTGCAGTGTGCGTGTGTACCCTTGCACAGCAAGGCCATTAGCACAGTGGTGAGAAGCTGCGTTTTATGAAAGCTCTCTCCCTTCCCCAGTTGGAAATTGGGAAGGATTTAGGTCTGTGACTGCAAAGTGGGGAGAAAAAAATGGAGTATTAAAGAGTTTATGCTCTTGTTGTGAACCAGTGCTCATGACCATTGTACTGGAAGCTGTTCTCTGAGATGAAAAATGGGGGCATGTTTGGCTCATACAGGCACCTGGCTGATGTATTTTACTGCTGTTGTGGGCTCCAAGATAAAAGTTACCAAGTTTGTGTTTGAAACCACAGTGTGGTAGTGGTGTTGGAGAACAGCATCTGCAGTGGTAAAGAAGAATGGCAAACTATTCAAATGAGCTAACTTACTTTGAGGTCTGAGTTTTGGCAGTAGCACTCACTGTTGAACTGCTACTACAGAACACGGTATTGGTTATCCATCCAGAGGTGAGGCTTTACACTGTGTCACGGTTTGAGAGGTAGTTCCACAATACAAACATTGGCTTTTTTTTGGGTGTGTGTATGTCCTGTTTGCATACAAGCTCCCTGGAGTACCAGCAGAATGTGGTGTTACTATGCAGGCAGTTGTAGAAACTAACATTTTAAAATTGCATAGTATTAGCAGTTGAAATCTCTGTGTGTTTCAGCTGGCATATGTGTGGGTGAGTTTGCGGTATTTGCAGCAAAAAGTAGCAAAATAAATTATATGAGAGGAGCCACATGTAAAATTGATACTGTATTGCCAGATAAACCCCTGGTGTTACTAGACCCCCTAGTAGTAAGCACAAAGTGCTTTTTCATGGCTGGAATGTCTTATCTATTCCTGATGAATGCTGGGTCAGAATGCAGTGATGTTAAGGTCTTTCCAGGCAGGTGGGACTGCAAAGAAAGGCAGAGTAAATTAAATTTATGACCAGTTTTGTTCCATTTGTACCTGTCCAACCTTCCTAACCTCCTTGCTGAAGACAAATCACACAGTAATTTTAGTCGTTGCCCCTTTATACATCTTAGGGTCAGAAGTGCCAAGTACTGAATTAAAACTTTGATCTTGAGAAACCATATCTAGCATAGCAAACGTGACTGTAAGCTTCAAGATTGATTAGTAGCTAAAGAGAAGACATTATTAATTTTTCTGTTTTAATGTTATGTTGCCTATGCATTTGGGGATTAAAAGCACACACTGTTGAGGCTGGCTTCTCTTTATTTCCAAATACTTTACGCTCCAGAGGCGTGAGTTAGATGATGTGGGCTTGTTTTGCATTGGGTGATGTGAAGGGAGGAAGGGAGGGGGCTGTAGTAGTTGGCTCTGTGTCCTCATGCAGGTGGGTGAGAAGTTTGTTCTGCTGCTCCCTTTCATTTGTCAGGTGCATTTGCAAGATAAATAGGTGCAGTTCAGGATGGAGCTGATCAGCACTGCCCTCCTGAAATTCCTCCCTTTTCACTGCTTGAAAGCCTTGCATACAAAGGCCACTAGGATACAGGTCCTCTAGCTTGCCCTTTGAAGTGAGGAACAGTGGAATTTGTTCACCCCTGAGACTTGGTGGAGCAGCTGCAAAAGCTCTTCTGCTGAGATCCTCAGTTCTTGCTGATCATGTTTCCCATGTTGTACGTTTAGGCAGCATAAAGGCGGATAAACTCCTTGTCCTCCTGATTGCCTCACAACGTTTAGAACCAGGCGCTCCCTTAAGTACGGCAGGAGGTGTGACTGTGGCTCTGCAATTAGAGCAATTGGAAAAAGCATGACTCTACCCTCTCTGAGGGTATTTAAAGCAAGCCTAACCCATCCTGTGCACATTCCTGGGTAACAGCCTGGTAAGTTACAGGTTCCTGTAATAGCACTTCTCCCCTCCAAGTAGGGATCTGGTTTATGCAAGTGATTTAATCTTCAGTGCCCCAGGCTGTCCTTTTCAGTTGTTTGTGTAGGCTGAAGTGCCAGTGCAACCAAGTGGGAGCATCTGGATTCTACTGACAGGTCCAGCAGCAGGGAAGTGAAGCCTGTGATCTTCTCTAAGGAACCTGAGGAAGGCTGGAGGTTTTTTTAGGTAAATACAGTCTCTTCTGCTGTAAACTGAAGTAATCATCATTCAACTTTTAAGGGAGCTGGGGGGGGGACACAAAATTTAAACACTTTTCTCTAACTGCATCCTGTTTCTAGGTGGTAGAACTGACCTGAAGCCTCCATGAAACTGCTGAAATGCATGTCAGGGCCCTCAGGAGAGTTTAGCAAGGCATGGCAGGCATGCATGCTCTCCTGCAGGGAAACACAGCTTTCTCCCTTTGGTTTATAAGGCTTTTTCCACAGTTGGGTGCTGACATTAGCATGAACACATTTGCTCCCCAGAGTCTGAGAGAAGTTGATGATTAATGCTGTAAGAAGTGCAGAGTTCTAAAGACTGGTCTGGTTAGACACCCCCATGCTGTTAGGTTTTTTTTAACCTCTGCTTCCTTGGGGACAACAGTTCCAGCACTGACTCTGGTTTCCCAGTGCTTCAGCACAGCACTTTATGGCTTTTGTTACAATATCAGGCATTGATCTGCAACTTACTCTAGGCAGAGACCAGCAGCTCTCTGGTCTCCCCTGACCAAATCAGCAGCAGACTTGAGCTACTCCAGTCCTGTTCCACAAAAGGGGCAGCATTAGCAAGCCATACCCAGATGTATGGGTTGTGCTCTGTGCGGGCAGAAGCTCAGAGGGGGCATCCTGGGCTTGCTACTGCCCAGGGCCGAGTGGCTGCTGAAGATCAGTTGGATGAGCAGTGCTTTCACACTCTCAGCCAATAGCCATTATTTTCAATGTAGCTGTTTCCTTTGCTTTCCTACAGTACACATCCTCAGCAAAGGGAGGTTACAGCGTGTAGTTCAGATGTGGATTTTACTACCTTCGTCTAAGGTGCATGAGTGCCATGGTCTCATTTAGTGTGTGCTGACCCACATTTCCCTTACAGCAAGTCACCCATTACTAATCAACTTCAGTAGAAG